TTTCTAAAACAATAGGAACAAGTTTACACAGACTGCCTGCTGATGTCTTGACATGACATGCCCTATAATAACTGGAAATAAAATAGAAAGCAACTCCAGTTTTAGAACACCTTCAGAGTGGCCGTAACACTAAGTGCAAAACCATCCTTAGTATAATGAATGTGCTCTACTCACTGCCAGATGCTACTCCCAAAGATTCCACTAGGTGGCAGAACAGATAAGAGAACAGCAGCGGGTCTCACCCTTAGCGGGCATTGCCTGTCCCAGAGTTTCAGATTCGGTTGGTCTGGGGTGGGGCCCAATAATTTGCATTTCTAACAAGTTCCCAGGTGATGCAGATGTGCTGGAAGGAAACTACACTTTAAGACTGGATTACAGAAGTCCAATCTATAAAGCCCTATAAGACCAACCCAAGGCCCATTCACCCACACGCATCCACCCGCTCCTTCCAAGTTTACTTTGTACCAGTTCTAGGCGATTTGGGCACAGAGAAGAAAAACACACAGTGCCTGTTCTCAAGATACAGTCTCGTGAGGGAAATCAGGAGAAATGAAGAAAATAACTTTTAGTTGACTACTTCTACCTCTCCGTTTCTTCTTCCCGACACACAGGTTTCACAAGTGTTTTTTGTTTGTTTCTCTGAGTCCCTCTCAAATGGAGTTCAAGCTTCGTGCCCTTAAAGCTTGAAAGATCAATTCACTCAAGAGTCACCTTACATGGCTGACTCTGCTGAACTAACAAACTCAGGAACGTGTGCTCTCCTGTGTAACTCTCACGATGGAAAATCTCCTCTGAACTCAGAGGCCTGAGATATAAAAGCACGCCTGACAACCCCTCCTTGACTCTGTATTAATGAGTAAAAAGAATACACTAGGATGACTATGTTCTTGGAATCTGCACTTGGTTGCCTTCTGGATTCATTCCTCATTTTAAATTTCATCACATATTTTGGAAAAAATCCTTTTGATTCATGATTGCCCACATTTTCCTTTAAATATTATCGATCATCTGTGATACATCTTCATTAGGAAAAGTTTAAATTAAAAATACAGTTCTACTATGTATCCAGTACCGTTGACTAGCTCTCTTCTACTTTCTAATTTGTGACCTGTCCCATCAATTACTGGGATGTAAATAGCGATTGTTGAGAGGTTTGCTTGAAACCAATCCTTTTTATGTAATGAAAGAAAATTTCAATGCATGCCTTGGGTTATTATTTCTAAATTAGTGATGTCTAGATTAGAGAAATTTTATTTTTGACCACAATTCAATTCAAACAATGTTTCCCAAGTATTTGAAAATGTAATAAAAATGGGTAAAAAAAATGAAGACAGAATTCAAAAGAAATACAAATAAGCACACATAAAAATATCCGGCTTCACAGGTTCAAGAAATGGCAATTAACGCAACCTTGAGATAACTTCTTTATAGCTAGTAAATTGGCAAACATGTAAAATAACCACTCAAAAGTGATGTTGTGCCGAAACATGTACCCACAATCCAGCAAGGTGACAATATAAATCCACTTCGCCCATTTGGAAATCCACAAGATAAATGTGAAGCCAGAGCCGTGAAGTGTTCCTTCCTGGACACAGAGGTTTCTGGAGCCAGAAATGTTCTTTCTTGACTTGGACAGTGGTTAGGTGTTCGCTTTCTAACTATTCAGTCAACTGTGTGTTTTATGCACTCTTCTGTGTCTATAACAAAAAATGTTATGAAAAACATTTCCTTGGCTTTTACCAATAAGTATCTCTTGGGAACTCGTTTTAAGGAAATATGCACAACTAAGTTCTCTGTAGCATTATCTAAAAAGCAAAACGGGAAACTACCTAATTGTCCACCAAAACAGGAATGGTTGAGCAAATTATAGTAATAAAGGAATATTACAAAGTATTATGGTAATTGCAAACACTTAGAGCATACTTTTTTTTGGCAAGGAAGATTAGCCCTGAGCTAACATCTGTTGCCAATCCTCCTCTTTTTGCTGAGGAAGAGTGGCCCTGGCCTAACATCCGTGCCCATCTTCCTCTACTTTATATGTGGGACTCCTGGCACAGCATGGCTTGATAAGTGGTGCATAGGTCCGCACCCGGGATCTGAACCTGCAAACCTCAGGCCAGCAAAGCAGAGCACGCGAACTTAACCACTACTGCACCGGGCCAGTCTCCACTTAGAGCATATTTTTGAGAGCACAACACAAAACAATGATTTGCAATCATAAATCTATACATATGTGCATAAGGACTAGCAGAGAATATTAAAAATTGTTATGATAAAGGAGCTCTGGGTGATTTTCTCCATAAATTTGTATTATTGTTAGATTATCTTCACCACAAAGAGAACAGAACACATGGTTAAAACGCAAACAAGGGACACGAACACCCCACTGGCAAGGGCTACCCATGTCTAACCACAGAGTGATCACCAAATTCTGCCCAAATGTACTCGGAACACTGTAGATGTTTACAGGATATGGCAGGATGGGGAAGCCTAAGAGAGGAAGAGCTGTATGTAATTGGTCTTTCATGTGGCTTCAATGCTCTGATATTCTGAAGTTATTTTTCTTCCAGTTAACGTAGCCCCTAAGATAATCCATGGAATTTATTGCAATATCTTATCAAGAACTTATTGGGCCAGCTCTGATGGCCTAGAGGTTCAAGTTTACCACGTTCCACGTCAGCAGCCTGGGTTTGGTTCCTGGGTGTGGAACCACACCACTCGTCTGTCAGTGACCATGTTGTGGCGGTGGCTCACACACACACACACACACACACACACACACAAAAGAGGAAAACTGGCAAATCTTCCCCAGCAAAAAAATATAAGTAAAAATAAATAAAAGAACTTATTGAGCATCATGGAGTTCCTATCTCAATCTTACAATGTTGCTGGGGAGACAAGGTATTCACATGAATTTTAAAAAATTTATGGATCAAGGGTGAAAGTTAATGGTTTGCCAGTTGCAAAAGGTCACACATAATGAATTGCACAACCAACTACCCTAGATAAAAACGCTGAGTCAGGCTGGGGATGGGGATGATGGTCAGCAGAGGCTCTCAAGATAGTAGTGGGAGGTCAACGGGCTCCTAAAGGCTGGCCCTAGGACAGGTGGAAAAGAACACGAAGGGCTTTTCCACGAGGATGGGAGGTGAACCACAGTGCAAAGGCAGGAAAAGAGCAAGAATTTTTTGAAGAGATGAGTTGGGACGCATTATATGTTAATAAATCTAGACATTCCCTGCTGGTAACAGGGAGTCATTAAGGGCTTTTGAACAGAGGAGGCTCGTGCTCAAAGGAGTGGTTGGGAGATGTCCTGGAAGCAGAACGTAAGACGGCTTGACGGGTGCCCAAGAGCAGTGAAGAGGAAGGGCGTCAGTCCAAGTCTGGATTGAAGAGACTTGAAATAGGAAGAGAATGGGAAGGGTAAGAAGGAATGGTAGGAATAACCCAGGACTGGAGGCTAACAATTAGGTCCCAGCCTCATCCTCATCACTTACTATTCCTCTAAGCGGTCAGTCACTTTTCCAAGCCTCAACTTCCTCAACTGTACAACAGGAATGACAATCTGCCCTATACTAGGGATCAAAAGTACAGGACCTTGTGTGGTGAAATGACAAGGCGCCCTACAAATTTAAATTAAGAAAGGACTAACCACTCCGAGATGTGCTGAATAGAGGAAGGCAAAAGAGAGGAAGTCAATTCCAAGGTCCAGACCCTGCATAATGGTACCTTTCCCTCCATTTGCATCTACTCATGAAGGTCCCCAAAATTCCTTCCTTGCATTTTACTTTTAAATTTGTTTTGCTTCTTGGATCTCATTCAGAAATTGTTATATTGCTGGGCTTACATTCTAGAATATGCAGAAACAGTAAAAGAGCAGAGCCACTTTAGATCACCCGAGGGGCAGTTCCATTTCTACAAACACATTCTAAAACATTCTCACTTTTGAAAAGTCCCCTCTGAATTAGATGGGGAAAAAAAACCAAGAAAATAGTCTTAACTACAGAATGTATTTTTAAGGAAATGCAGCTTTATTACTTTCAAGTTCAAACGATAACGGGCTTGGCTAGCCAAATGTTGCCTAACTGAAGGAACCTGCTTTAATGTATAGATATATATGATTTATAGTTAGCATAATCACGCATGGGTGAAAGAATGCTTCTATGACGCACAAAAATAATTTCTCATCTTGTAGAGACATCTTGTTCCACAATCACTCCACTATTTGCTTAAGCAATCCCTTCTCCCCCCACCCCACAGAGAGTTCAAATATACACTTCACCTCATTCCTCCTGGATCACAACATACATCAAGTTAGTGAAACATGAGTTGATGGATTTTACCACGTTGCCACAGATGTTGGATTGGTGAGACCAGCCTTTTTCGACCTGAGCATTCTCATCAAGAGTACTAAGTCTAAATTAGTGAAATATGTCTGTTCACAATGTGACTATAAGGACACCAAAAAACTGTGAGCTTGTATCATCCGAATTAATAATTTGCCAGGTTTAAATATGCAAAAATTTTTATTTCAGTACATTCATGAAGAGTAGAAGTAGCTGAATTCTTTAAGCTGCAATAATTAAGTGGGTTTACACTGGTCAGGATAGTAATACTAACTTTAAGCAACTAAACCATTCTAGGGAAGACTGGAAACACGCTGAAGCAACTTGGCAGCAAAACACCTTTTTGCACTGAGCATGGTCACTCAGCCGGATTAGGCTGATGGGGGTGGTACAAAGACTATCCAGGAATCCACTTGAGGATTTAGTCTGAAAAAAATTCACTTCCCTAGAGTAGGCACAGGGAACTTCTGATTGGAGACACTGCCAAAGATGGCTAGCGAGCATTTCTGTCAAGAATGCTAACCTGTTCTTTTCATCAGACACTCTATCTGCTGACTGCGTGATTCTCAAGTGTCCTGGTTGTCTTAAATATCTTGGCAAGTGCCAGCATAACCAGGTAGGAAGGCTGAGTCAAGGCGATAGAGCTCAAGATAGTCCCCTACCCTGACACGTCTGTCCCTAAAGGCTAAGGTGACAGTGAGCCCTGCCCCAGACTGCATCCTAGAGCAGTGGTCTGACTCTGCACACTTCCTAGAGAGAAAGGCAAGTGGTTCAGACACCTACCGAGGCCCACCAGAGGCCCAGAGGAGGAGGCCCAGAAAGCTAGAATGATGGTGGGATGGTTCACCTCTAGGCTCCCAGAAAACAGGGCACACAATCTCAGCTTCAAGGAGCTGCTGGGTTTGGCCAAAGCAACGTGTAAAGGCAGACACCACCACCCTCAGCTACTTCTGTTAGGTCAAAACGCCTAAGCCACCAGAATCAATTTTCTTCATGTCTGAAATAACACTGCTTCAAAACTTTATTCCTGAAGGTGTTTTACAGATGTAGAGCAGTTATCATTCTCCTGAGAGAAAACACTAGAATGATGACATCATAATCCTCATTCACACCTTACTATGCATTTTCAGTGGCCAGAACAATTTTCAAAAAATAAAAAATGAAGCACAAACTTAAAAATTTAACAGCAATATTCCCCACCTTCCAGTTATGAAAAGCTATCCAACCACATGTGGCTCCTGTGGGACTTCTCAAAGTCGAGCCCCTCCCCTGGAGGAAGACTTTCTTCCTATTTCTCTGATAGGTCTAAAGGTCAGTGCTGGGCCAGTTTTCACAACACATCACCTCAAAAAACGGGGCTGGAGGAAACTGGCTTCCTTTGGAATGGGAACGACCTCCTAAAGACCTCACACCCACTCGGCTCTCTCGGATCCCCGGCCCTGGAGCCTGACGTTGTCATGGTGCCTTTATGAACCTGAGAGGAGGGAAACCCTTCGCTTCCACCACACCACACTGTCCTCAAGAAACCCAATGCTCATAAAGAAGGATGTAGTCCATTTGCTCATGACTTAAGAATTTTTCAGAAATGAGAATATTCACACAAAGAAGAGGCAAAGGCAATTCCCTCGCCTCTGAGCTAAGGGAGCAGAAGTCAGTGCCTGAGGAAGACAGCCCCTAATCAATGAACCAAGACTAAGGACGACAGCTTTAGCTAGGCCTACCCACTTCTCTCTCTCACGCCCCACTTTGCTTTATTTGTTTAGAAGGATGAGTTAGGTTTCCATTTTCATAAAAGCTGGCAATAGTAGGAATAATCCAGCACCTAAAAAGCGATGAAATAAAATGCTCAGGTGAAATGAAGGCTCTGGGAGCAGGAATCCAAGTTAGGACTCCAACCGCTGCCTAGAGTCCTGCTGTCAAAATCCGCTGTACCAAGTACCACCTCACTGACCTAACTTCGATATTCAGCACTGAAAACTGAAATAAGACATCCTATACACGTTTCAGGTTTGTCATCTAAAAAAAACTTTTTCCCACAAATAACTCTAACTTCTTGCCCTGTGAAGCTACTGCATAGACCTGAAAGTGAGGTGGGAGTAGGGACGGTCGTGAGGTCAGTAACCTCAGTTATTTGTTCAGGCTGGATGAAAAGGAGAGAGTCCTTCGCCCTCATCACCGCCCAAATCTCCTGAGGCTCCTACAAAACAGATTCCAGTTACAATTCTCGTTCCATTTCTTGGAGGATCAAGCAGAGCTCACGCACAGAACTCACTGTGAGATGGATTAAACCCAGATTTGAGGGAAGAAGGAAAATTTTGTCTATTTAATTCCCTTAGAGTCTCGACATGTGTCCTTGAAACCAACCATTACTGTTCAAAATATTAACTTTGCAGCATTCAGAGGTCCACTGTCCGACTCTATGCTAACGCGGACTCGGGGAGAGCTGTGTCCCCACTGTAGGGTCTGCATCGTTCTCAGCTCTGCCAGCAACCTTTTCCCACCTGTAAGATGGATACGCTTCACATTAGGGTCGGCAAGAAGAACGAATAACTCATACTCCCAGGCAGAGGCTCTCACTGAGGTTCAGTTCTTATGTTCACCTTCAAACTACTTTCCTATTGGTCTACGAATGGAATATGCCCTCCTCACTCCCCTGCAACACAGTGGTAAACAGCTGGAGTACGTGATCTTTTCCTACTGCCTGCTCCCACTACTTTCTCTCTGATGTTTGCGACAATTATGTTAAAACATCTCCACTGCTGAATCACAGAATTACCTAACTTGACAGGAATGAGAGGGTGGAGATTACAAACTGGCAGCCTGTAGACATGCTTTGTTTAGCCTACTGTATTTTAAATTATCTTCAATTAGTTGTCAACATTTTGAAAATCAAGGAATTTCAAATAAAAATCTGGATTTCTGCTTCCTCCTGAAAAATCAGAAGGCCTGCCAACATTGGGATCATTTCTGCCTAACACTTAGAGATGATTAACTGCCCCATGAGATAAGCTTTCCATGGCTCAGCACAATCTTACCCTGCATGCTTCGCTCATGTGAGTTATCTGCACGGCTCCCTGGGCATTCGAGCTTGTGAACCCTCATCTAGGGCAATTCCTTCATTTTAAAGACGAAGAAAATGACAGCCCAGGGACAGAAAGTTAACTTGCCTGAGGCCACACATCAAGTTAGAGGCAAAAGAGGAAGAAAAGTCAGGTTCAGGTCACTGCTTCTCTAGAGAACCAAGCCTCCTACCAGCATTTCTTCCACCAATTATTTATATTTGCTAAGCGGAATCCGTTATATTGTCTACATTCCCCTTTTCATATATTTGATTTCCTTAAAGATAACAACTTTGTATCAGTGATTTCATTTAAATATTACCTCCAACCCCAAAGAAACAATGAATCAGGAATCAGACAAAACTAAAATATCAACTTTTGCAGACCTCAGCAGAACAGGACCAGAAAGAACCTTAGAAATCACTTAGCTTAACACCTGGCTATACAGACAGAGAAAATGGGGCCCAGAGAAGTGTCACGCCTGAGGTCACAGGGTTCCTAGGTAACAGAGCCGGTCTTCCATCTCCCAGCTCAGTGCTCTTTCTACTCTACCACGGCACTTCAGCGCAGGCACTCAGGCTGTGGGGGACCGAGGACCAGCTTGCTCCACATGGAAACAAAAACTACAGAACTCCCTCACATCTCAGACATGGTCAACTTTGACTCTGCCAAGAACTAGGTAGGGTTTAGAATGAGTTCCAAACCATCAATTTACAGAACTGGATCTGCACTGAAAGGCAGTGCAACTGTCTTTAGAACTGATATTTGGTGAAGAGTGCATGAACGTCACGGGACTTAGTGGTCTGTGTGACACTGGTCATTGTAAAAGCTAAGCCCCATGTGAGAGAAGTTGCTGTAACAACATCATAGCACCTTTGCTTCAACTTTAAGAGAAAAAAAGGCAATGGTGAAAAAGCTTTAATAGTAGATTGAATGTGTTTTTATAGGCAACCAATTAGCAGATTAATGAACCATTTGTTTACTTAAAACCAATATTCAAGAAAGATGAACCCAAAATGCATCCTCATACTGATCAACATAACTAAGTACAAATGAAGTCAATGGTGTACCCCATTAGCATGCTGCGTTGTATGTCAATAAAACAAGCCCTCCCCCGCCCCGAGCCCTGGCCCCCTGGCAAACATAGATAAATGATTGTGCACTGCGCGATGATACCATTAGGTGAGAACTTTGGTTCATGCAGTCGGCTGCCACAGAGGTTGCACTCAAAACCCGCAGCCCCGGGACCCAAAGTCAGTCAGCGGTGGCAGCTCGTGGTGTCAGCCGTGCTCCTTCCACAACACCAGGTGAATACTGTGGTCAGGCATGCTGGTGGCAAAGACCAAGCCCGTATCATTGTGCCCATCTAGTCCATTCAGCCAGGACGCTTCGCCTGCCAGGAAGCTTGAGCCTCTCTTCGATTTCCTGTACTCTGGCAGAGGCCAGCGGCTAATCAGGCTCTCTGTCCGCAAGTCCATGATATACAGGTAGCGGTTGTCAAACAGCAGGGCAAAGATATCTCCAAAGCCAAGCAAGGCCAAGTTTGCTATCTCAGGAGTCTTGATGACCCTACAAGGACGAGAGTTAGGAAACATGAACAGAAAGCAACTTTGCTTCTGTTTAGGCTATTGCAGTCTTTCCCAGAGACATTTAAAACCAATACAAAATTCAAGCAAATTAGAGAGTTAAATAAAGGTTTTTGATAAGAAGGAAAATATGAAGACAAAAAGCTCAGCCTACCTAAAAAGGGGGGAGGGGAAGGAGTCCTTCATAACGATATGATAACACAGGCACATAAGGAGAAAGGTGGTGTCTGACAAACATTTATAAAAGCACACGTGCCCACCCAGGCTGGAAAGGATATTGCAGATTATCTCATTTAACATTCTCATTTCTAAGACATGAAAATTGAAGTCCAGCCAGGGTAAATACTTTGGCTAAGGATTCACAACTAGTCAGTCAGAACTACAATACAAGACTCAACTCTCACCACTACATCAAATCCTAGAATACTGGCCTCGGGGAACACCCTGGAGCCGGCAACAAAGACTGAAAACCAAGTGACTCAGGTGTTACTGTATTCAGCAGGGAGCAAACACACAGGCTCCACTCTAAAAACAGTAGAGGCTGAAAATATTAAAAGTTTCCTAAATAATTCAGAAACATTAATAGATCCATAAGAAGGTGTTAGGGAAAACTGGGGGAGTTGGGAGAACAGCCTTAACCTTCTCAGGTTGGCAGTTCCCAAACATCGATGACAAAGGCACAAAATGGAAGAGATCTAGCTACACAGCAGCACAAATGGAAAAAAAAAAAAACCCACCATAGTCTCTGTTGTCTGCACACTTTGTGAGGCAAAAGGTTGACAAGAAAAGGTGATGTCTTCTTTGGAGGCACTAGGAAAAGAACTACGAGACTCTGCTCTGTGACAATACGGTCGGCCCTGTGAGAGGCGAGTTTCGCCTGTTTTAACAAGGACACTACCAACTAGTGTCTGTCCAGGAGGTCAACCAGAATGAGCAGGGCCTGGTAAGAGGACAAGTAAGCAACAGCTAAGGGAGATCAGCTCAGAGGGGAGGAAAAGACTTGGTAGGGACAGGGAAACTAGACATGACCATCACCTTGAAATAGTGAAGGATGCGTGAGAGATTATGCCAGACACTACGAGCTCCAGCAGAGAGAACAAGGGTCTAGGAAAAAGAGAGCTACACAGAAGCAGATTTCAGTTTGATATCAGGAAGGGAGGCGATTTAGTAGTGAAGACCTGTTTCTCACACTCAACCTGTCCAAAACTGAACTTACTGGCCAAACCTGTTTCTCTATTTCCTAGCTTGCTCATTCACCCAGTTGCTCAAGCTAGGAAACATGGCATCCATCCAACTCTCCTCCTTACTCAAACCATAAATTCAATCACCACGATCTACTGATTTTACCTCCAAAATTTTCCTCTAATTTATTCACTACTGTCTGAATTGCCACAACTGTAATCTGAGACATCATCTTTTGCCTGTACTACTGCCAACAGTTTTCAACTGGTCTCCCATACCTACTCTTAGACTCTTTCAACCAGTTAACCTCACACTAAAATCTAATCCTATTGCCACCTCATTTGAACTTTTAAACCCTTCGAGGGCTCTCTACTGCACTCACATCTCCGGCCTTCTTTCAGTTCCTCGTATGTACCAGGCTCCTTTGTCTCAGGGTCTTTGAACCAACTGGTCTCTCAGTCTACAATGCTCCTCACCGTACACCCACTCCTGGCGTTTAGTTAATGCATATACTCATCTTTTAGAGCTCAGCCCGAATCTCTTCCTCAAAGAAGCTTTCCCTTACTCCTCAAACTAGGAGGGGTCTCAAAGTCCCCCATACTATTTTGCTCTTAGCCCAACCATTGAAACACGTGTATGTAATTAGTTGTTTAATGACAGTCCTCCCTCCTGCCAGTTAGTAACTTCCACGAGTTTGGTAAGTATTTCTGCTGGTTGCCAGTGTACATCACAATGCCTAACACACAGGTAGGTGGCTCAATAAATGTCTGCTAATGAATACAGCAGTGGTGCAACGAACACAGGCAAATAAAATTTCCTACAAGAGAGATCCAAAGGAAACTGGGAAAAACAGCAAGAAAGTCTCTAAGTCCCACATCATCAATGCAAAGCAGGAAATAACCAGAAACTTAGAAAACTGGGTGGCTAGGGGATAGGACTTAAGCCTGGTGAAGATGAGCTGACTCCAAAGCCTGAAGGGCAAAAATGTTGCAGAACAGAATACAGGTCTGGACAGGCTCACAGCCCCTTTTACTTGGACTACTTTAGAATTGTAAACAGACACTCCCGCTGTGCAGCCTGGGCCCTTAAACCTGAGTAACTCTGCCTGCCGTTCTGAGATAACTAGCTCAAAAGATAGCATCATATCTTAGTTTTATTGAGCAAAATGCTGCCATTTGTGCTTTGCTTCTTTTCAATTAGCTTCCAAGCGTAAGCAACCCTACCTGGTCCCAGCAACCGACGCCACAGGATTTGTACTAAGATTTCAAAAGAGGTTAGTTTATTTGTATTTGGAGGGGAGAAAAGCAAGAGATAAAACAGTCCCTTTTCAAAGAAAAAATGTGAACCTAGCACTTCCTAGCGGCAAACAATCTTACAGGTTTATTGCTTAAAGCTAGTGTATGCAAAGAGCAAAAACGAATAGAATTTTCATCTGGGACTCGGGACTCTCCATATGCCATTCTGAGTAAGAAGCATATATGAGAAAGGTAAACGCAGGGTCCAATTAAAACCTTTAGAGACTCCTAAGCATTACAAAGATTATGATACCTCTAGTACACCTTGCCTTTGCACGCCTCCCTCCCAAATTTTAATTAAAAACAAAAGCAATACTAAACTGTAAAGGAGCTGATTTTCCCATGGTGACTACTTTGATTTTTTCTTTGCAAAGTATCAAGTTCTTTCAAAAGTTCTTTCTCTCTGGCTTGCTGGTATCTTAAGCATATGCCTGTTGGACGATCTAGCCATGGATGGACGGATGGATGGACGGATGGACGGACGGACGGATGGACGCTGGACTAGGGTGATCTGTGGGATGTTGATCCCTACTCTCTCTCGGCTTCAGTTTCCTCATCTATAAAATGAAGAGCTTGGAATGATGTTTTCTAGGATCCGTTCTGGTCTTTTCTTCTCAAAGTATAATTATCAATCAGTTCTAGAAATGATCCTGACTGCTTGGAAATCTAATTGGTTAGAAATGAAGGTCTGAATCCTGGGAGACATAAGTGGGGTTGTAACTTTATGACCAGAGAGACAGGGCCTGCCAAAGTCCTGTTGGCTAGTATGATCAATCCCACACAAGCTGACCTCAAACAGTCATGCATAAAAACAGCAAAAAGAACATTCAATTTTCTGTACTCTCCAAAGTCAGCATGTCCTGAAACCATGCTGTGGAACACTAATTCTGTGAGCTACTAATAGGTGTTCTTCAAAAAAAGGGTTTCGTGCACAATAAGTGGGAGGTACAGTAGGTTAAACAAATTAAAACAAGTTTCTTTATGCAGGGCTTCTCAGAGCTATTAGTAATAAAGATCTGTCAGGTCCTGTGCTAGGCCCTCATTACAGGCATTTCATTTAATCGTCACTTCATAGGTGAGGAAATTGAGACACAGAGAGGTTAAGAAACTTACATAAAATCACACAGCTCATAAGAGATGGCACCAAGTCTTACACCAAGTTTTGCTTATCACCAAATTAAGTTCTCTTAATCACCATATGGCACTGGCTTCCATCAGCCTCCACTGTGCTAAGGGACACGCCTATCTCTAAGAGGGGTCTACGGCATGCAGTGAATCCCCAAGTTATTTGTCCATGGACCTCTTATTTATTTCTTTGGAGAGAAACTCCGCAAGTTGTGTTTTTCCCTAAATACCTCTGTCTTTCTGCTAGTCAACAGAAGGCCAGTCGATTCCTCAATGCAAAATTTCAACTGACCAGGAAACAGAACTTAAAATGTTAGAACTAGAAATCTGAAAGATCCTTTCATCCAAGCCCCTCATTTTCCAGAAAAGCATGTTAAATTCCAAAAGGGGGAATGACTCAGAGTTAGGCGAGGGATTAGAACCTAGATCTTCTAGGTTCTAGCACATAACCCTTTCTAATTACTGCTATGTGTGAGATTTTCAGCATATAACCCTGTTTACAACTGAGTAGTAAACATTTCCCAAAAGCAAGTTATTGACTAGTTTATCCAAATATTTAGTCTTGTCTTTACTACTGAACTGCAACAAAATAAAGAAATAGACTGCAACAGACTGTCAAAGGAAACATTACCTGAGAATATCATAACTGGCAAAGTCCCACTGGTAGAGACCCAGTGCCGAACTACAGACGATGTATTTGCCATCAAAGTGAAGTCTTGGCTGCAGGCAGATACTTCTATCCTCAGAGACAGACAACGTTTTCAAGCACTTGCAGTTGATTTCTCTCCCAATTGGCCAAATCTACAGATAAAAGTCAATTAGGAAAGATGACAGATCACATCACCAAAGAAAAGCTTGTCCTTCAACAACATGGCTTGTGTTGCTGACGTCAGATACAAAGTGAAGTAAACTGGAAAGACTGCAGGTTTTACAGTCAAGAGGCATAGGTTCAAGCTCTGACTCTGCATGTATGTGCTGTGTAATCTGGGTAAAACACTTAACCTCACTGAACCTCAGTTCCCACAATGAACATAATGCCTACCACATGGAGCAGTTTAAAAGATGCAGTAAGAATGTATGTAAAGTGCTAAATTTTTGTAAATTGTTTTTATTATTATACAAGTAAATGTCTATGTTTTCATAGTTTAGATCTAAGAATTGAGGAGAGTAGGAGATATGTGTCTTAAGAAAACAGAATGCACTGAAGATAAATTTCTGCGGATTTTTTTTCTTCATTTACAAATCAGGGTTAGAAACTGCCTAGAACATAGAAATAATGAATAATTCTCTTTCCAATGGTTTAAGATGGCTTGGACTAAGACATTTCTGCCTCCCTTGAAACATTCCCCCTTTGCCACATCATTTAAATTTTTAAATTTTTAAATTTTGCCAGTTTTTCTTTGATGAGACAAATTAATGGAGAAAAAAACCCTCACCTTGATCTCATATTTGTCTGCACTTAAGAGGATGTAGTCTCCAGGGCTGTGCAAGAGAGACTTGACTTTGCACTTCTGCAAAACCACCTAGAAATATAAACATCCATGTTACAGAAACATTCTTTTAATGCTATTCCTGTATCGCTTTTTTAAAAAATTAAAATATGAGATGATATGGTATGCTAGAATAGCTAAGCTAAAACTCTATGACCAAGTTAACCTTTACTAGGAGTTTTAGTATAACCAGATTCTCTGAATTATCAGCAGGATCTAAACATGTCTAATGTTGGCAGCATTTAATTTTAGCTTTAGTCTGGAAGCAAACATTAGGAATGATTTTAAAAATTATAAAACATGACTTTAAAGAAATTGTGAGGAAGAGGTAAGAAAAAAGTCCACAGACATAGTAGACACACATGATGTGTTTTCACAGGCATGTACGTTATAAAGGAAAAAGCACTGGGCTTGGGACCAAAATCTGCCATCTTTTGACTTTGGAACCTGAGGCAGGACCATCTAACCTCTTTTTTTCTCAGTTTCCTCATCTTTCAAGTAGGGGTTGAGGCACTTATTATCTCACATAACTGCAGGGAAAATGAAATACAGTAATATGAATAATAGTAATAATAATGTAGTAAAACCTAACATTCATTCCATTAGCACTTGGAATAATCTATAAACACTAGGTTCTACTTATTTTTGTAATAAATCAGCACACAGTGACAGGGGAGGCCAGGCTCACTCATTCAGAAGCCCAGGCTGCAGATTCAACTGAAACTGACAGACATGCTACTGGGTGCCAGGCACCTTGCTGGGTACTGTCCCACCACCTCATTTAATATTCACAGGAACATTTAGCAGATGATGAAACTCAGGCCCTGGGGCGAGGAGTAACTTGTCTAAGACATCAGTGTCCTGGCCCCAAGTCCACTGTTTTTAACACAACACCAAATTGTCTTATATAACTTTTCTATTTAAATATTCAATGTGCCCAATAAAGAATTATTTTTTTCCCCAATTTGTTTATTGTGGTAAAAGACACATAACATAAAATGTACCATCTTAACCATTTTTAAGTGTACAGTTCAGTGGTGTTATTGATCTTCTCACAAACTGCTCTGCTTATAGCTCCCCCTATTTCAGACAGACACAATTACCCATCCAATCTAAAACCCACTAGTCATCTCTGATTCTTTCTTTTTCTTTGTTCCCCATGAGTCAGTAAGCTCAGTTGGCTTTATGTTGAAGACACATCCTTCATGGGTGCCCTTCTCTCTGCTGACACTCAAGTCCAAGCCATGGGTATCTTTCGCTTAGACTACTACAAAAGCCTAACTGGCCACCCTGTATCCTCTTGTACCCCACTCTAATGGACTTTTCACTCAGCAATTATCTTTTTTTTTTTTTTTTTTTAAAGATTTTATTTATTTATTTTTCCCCCCAAAGCCCCAGTAGATAGTTGTATGTCATAGCTGCACATCCTTCTAGT